TCACAGCAACCAAAACAAATCAAACAAACCCAACATACAAACTCACATTCACCACTTCAACATAACACCTCAAACACACAATATGCATTCCATCATACACAACAACATCACATACAAAAATCAACCATATACACACATACACATACAAACACACAAACTAATGCCACTTCCTCGCAAAATACACAACACAACGACAAATGTACCATACTCAAATAACAAACTCTAACACAACCACCACTACCAACTCTCCCACACTCAATCTCTCACTCATTACAAACACTCAACAACTCAACTACTACAATTACCCTCTTCTACTAACACTTATACACTTCCATCAAACAACACTAATTCCCACTATTACACAACAATTCACAACACTACTGTCTCTCTCTCACACTAAACAACACTGCACAAAACAAAACAAAGCACCAATCAACAAAATCATACATACAATAACACCACAGCAACACTGCACCACTATCATTCACAATACTCACACAACAACACTACACAATATCCATCAATTATACACACTAATCTACCACACCTTTCCTTACCAAACACCTCACAGATACACAACACAGACAAAACTGTGTGGTGATGCACAAAATCATTCACAGTGCATCAACAACTAATTCAATCTACCTCTGGTTCTTACGCCCAGTGACTGCAGTACATCCAGGCGCCTTTGCACAGAGGACACAGCACACCACTATCAATATCCAATAACCACCCACACGTCAATCTAACAACCGATCTATCCATATCTCTATCTAGCTATCAACTACCAACACTTGGTCCAAACACCCATTCATTCAATCATTTCAAATCACAAACACTTCTTCCATACACACCAACATATATATTGTCACGTACTACAACACCAACAATATACACACGTCAAAAAACAATGCATTCAATTCTCTATCACTAATCTATTACAACAACAAAATACACTAGCACCATACGCATTGACCAGTCACTCACACAATCACTCATTCACTTGGTCACTCATACACCAGCATATACACCTAAAAAAATAACAATATATACATACAATTAAAATAACTCACCTCAAACTCACTAACACTGTCACACAGTCAGTCGCATCGTCAATTCACAAACCTGAAACACACAAAACAAATACATTCGTATCAATTCAACTTCAATTCACAATCCTAATACATCTCCATTCAATACACATTCTATACTGTCAGACGACAAAACCAATAGTCATCAAGGAGTTAACAGATGTCCCTATCTAAAGTCATTCATCACACACAGGTTATTGAGTTATCAACATCATCGTTAACACACTACTAAACATAAACAAACTCACTCACCTCTTCTTCACACTCCGAAACCGCACACTCTATGCTGTACTATGCAGTTGTACTGCGATCTAACACCAACCACAAACCACAAACGACAAACCACCGACAAACCTAAAATAAACAAACAAATATACAAAAGAAAAACAATTAGCATTTCAATCATTCATTATTAATTCTCATATACACCATGTCATATTAACATCATCAGTGGTTCCTTAGAAGTAAACGGCATTTTAACGTGTATACCGACAAGCCACTTTCATCACTATCACCACAGTCACAGCAACCAAAACAAATCAAACAAACCCAACATACAAACTCACATTCACCACTTCAACATAACACCTCAAACACACAATATGCATTCCATCATACACAACAACATCACATACAAAAATCAACCATATACACACATACACATACAAACACACAAACTAATGCCACTTCCTCGCAAAATACACAACACAACGACAAATGTACCATACTCAAATAACAAACTCTAACACAACCACCACTACCAACTCTCCCACACTCAATCTCTCACTCATTACAAACACTCAACAACTCAACTACTACAATTACCCTCTTCTACTAACACTTATACACTTCCATCAAACAACACTAATTCCCACTATTACACAACAATTCACAACACTACTGTCTCTCTCTCTCACACTAAACAGCACTGCACAAAACAAAACAAAGCACCAATCAACAAAATCATACATACAATAACACCACAGCAACACTGCACCACTATCATTCACAATACTCACACAACAACACTACACAATATCCATCAATTATACACACTAATCTACCACACCTTTCCTTACCAAACACCTCACAGATACACAACACAGACAAAACTGTGTGGTGATGCACAAAATCATTCACAGTGCATCAACAACTAATTCAATCTACCTCTGGTTCTTACGCCCAGTGACTGCAGTACATCCAGGCGCCTTTGCACAGAGGACACAGCACACCACTATCAATATCCAATAACTACCCACACGTCGATCTAACAACTACCAACACTTGGTCCAAACACCCATTCATTCAATCATTTCAAATCACAAACACTTCTTCCATACACACCAACATATATATTGTCACGTACTACAACACCAACAATATACACACGTCAAAACACAATGCATTCAATTCTCTATCACTAATCTATTACAACAACAAAATACACTAGCACCATACGCATTGACCAGTCACTCACACAATCACTCATTCACTTGGTCACTCATACACCAGCATATACACCTAAAATAAATAATAATATATACATACAATTAAAATAACTCACCTCAAACTCACTAACACTGTCACACAGTCAGTCGCATCGTCAATTCACAAACCTGAAACACACAAAACAAATACATTCGTATCAATTCAACTTCAATTCACAATCCTAATACATCCCCATTCAATACACATTCTATACTGTCAGACGACAAAACCAATAGTCATCAAGGAGTTAACAGATGTCCCTATCTAAAGTCATTCATCACACACAGGTTATTGAGTTATCAACATCATCGTTAACACACTACTAAACATAAACACACTCACTCACCTCTTCTTCACACTCCAAAACCGCACACTCTATGCTGTACTATGCAGTTGTACTGCGATCTAACACCAACCACAAACCACAAACCACAAACCACCGACAAACCTAAAATAAACAAACAAATATACAAAAGAAAAACAATTAGCATTTCAATCATTCATTATTAATTCTCATATACACCATGTCATATTAACATCATCAGTGGTTCCTTAGAAGTAAACGGCATTTTAACGTGTATACCGACAAGCCACTTTCATCACTATCACCACAGTCACAGCAACCAAAACAAATCAAACAAACCCAACATACAAACTCACATTCACCACTTCAACATAACACCTCAAACACACAATATGCATTCCATCATACACAACAACATCACATACAAAAATCAACCATATACACATATACACATACAAACACACAAACTAATGCCACTTCCTCGCAAAATACACAACACAACGACAAATGTACCATACTCAAATAACAAACTCTAACACAACCACCACTACCAACTCTCCCACACTCAATCTCTCACTCATTACAAACACTCAACAACTCAACTACTACAATTACCCTCTTCTACTAACACTTATACACTTCCATCAAACAACACTAATTCCCACTATTACACAACAATTCACAACACTACTGTCTCTCTCTCTCACACTAAACAGCACTGCACAAAACAAAACAAAGCACCAATCAACAAAATCATACATACAATAACACCACAGCAACACTGCACCACTATCATTCACAATACTCACACAACAACACTACACAATATCCATCAATTATACACACTAATCTACCACACCTTTCCTTACCAAACACCTCACAGATACACAACACAGACAAAACTGTGTGGTGATGCACAAAATCATTCACAGTGCATCAACAACTAATTCAATCTACCTCTGGTTCTTACGCCCAGTGACTGCAGTACATCCAGGCGCCTTTGCACAGAGGACACAGCACACCACTATCAATATCCAATAACTACCCACACGTCGATCTAACAACTACCAACACTTGGTCCAAACACCCATTCATTCAATCATTTCAAATCACAAACACTTCTTCCATACACACCAACATATATATTGTCACGTACTACAACACCAACAATATACACACGTCAAAACACAATGCATTCAATTCTCTATCACTAATCTATTACAACAACAAAATACACTAGCACCATACGCATTGACCAGTCACTCACACAATCACTCATTCACTTGGTCACTCATACACCAGCATATACACCTAAAATAAATAATAATATATACATACAATTAAAATAACTCACCTCAAACTCACTAACACTGTCACACAGTCAGTCGCATCGTCAATTCACAAACCTGAAACACACAAAACAAATACATTCGTATCAATTCAACTTCAATTCACAATCCTAATACATCCCCATTCAATACACATTCTATACTGTCAGACGACAAAACCAATAGTCATCAAGGAGTTAACAGATGTCCCTATCTAAAGTCATTCATCACACACAGGTTATTGAGTTATCAACATCATCGTTAACACACTACTAAACATAAACACACTCACTCACCTCTTCTTCACACTCCAAAACCGCACACTCTATGCTGTACTATGCAGTTGTACTGCAATCTAACACCAACCACAAACCACAAACCACAAACCACCGACAAACCTAAAATAAACAAACAAATATACAAAAGAAAAACAATTAGCATTTCAATCATTCATTATTAATTCTCATATACACCATGTCATATTAACATCATCAGTGGTTCCTTAGAAGTAAACGGCATTTTAACGTGTATACCGACAAGCCACTTTCATCACTATCACCACAGTCACAGCAACCAAAACAAATCAAACAAACCCAACATACAAACTCACATTCACCACTTCAACATAACACCTCAAACACACAATATGCATTCCATCATACACAACAACATCACATACAAAAATCAACCATATACACACATACACATACAAACACACAAACTAATGCCACTTCCTCGCAAAATACACAACACAACGACAAATGTACCATACTCAAATAACAAACTCTAACACAACCACCACTACCAACTCTCGCACACTCATTTGTAGGGGTGAACGAGTCAACTTCTAGAATTTCTATGTTCAACCAATACTTTGATATTTCGATGAACCGGTCAAATTTGGTGTACGTGAAGGCACCGTGTTATGCCCTCTGGTTTCTCTTCTCTATTTAGTGAGTTACTGCTGTTGCTTAAGAAGTTGACGTTATTATTTGTGGACGACGTCAAAATCTGTAGAAGAAAAATGAGGCTGATCTCCAAGCTGACTTGTACGATTCAGTTAGATTGGCTCGAGGTCGGGGCTTATAAGTCAATTCTAGGAGGAGTGTGCCAATGCACACCGGTCACTGTAATAGTTACCATTATACTATCGATGGTAAACCTCTTCCATGCGTTCAAGAACATAGTCTTATGCGTAATAATAAGGCATGACTTAAAAACAACTACGCATTACATCGCAGTAGCTGTCAAAAGTTTTTGTGCGTTAAGGTCACTTCACCAAGCGTTTAAACCTTTTGGCGAGGAAATGTTTCGAATTTTATATCCCATCTATTTAAGACCACATTTAGAGTACTGTACCCAAGCAGTTAACCCATGTCTGGTAAAGGATACTAACTCACTTGAGCGTGTCCAGTGTGTGGGAACGAAATTAGTGAAGGGTCTTTCTCAACTCTTTTACGATGAGCGTTTAAAACACCTAGATCTTTTCACCTTGTTGTATCGTAGGACGCGAGGTGACCTTTTACTGGCATTTCGTGTCCTTAATTATGATTTGGGTGTTCATATGTCTTATCTTTTTGCTCCCTCCAGCACTAATAATCTCCGAGGTCATTAGAGGTAGATGGATATACACATCGGGCGGATATATTTGTTCTGGATTGCTTATCTAAAATGTTTGCTGAGTTACAGTGTGGCCAAACGCGTATAAACGCACAATAAGGATACAAAGGCAAATGGGTACGTCATAGTGAATAGAAGGTGTCCGCAGCCCAATTTCACAGTGAGAATGTGGTAAAAGTCAGCCATGACGTCAAGACTTGTCCTGTGGTAGCAGATTGTGAGTTTAGAACAAAATTTATTTCAAAACGGTCTTTTACCAAGTTTTATACCAAAATGATAACTACAGTTACAGAACCTTAAACGTTGGTTGTTCTCCGCGTTCAATGATAGCCTTATTTAAGTTGTCGTAGGGTTCTGAAACAGCATGAGCAAACTCACTACATGTAACGTGCCTGTTAAAACCGCGCGGTGGTATCTTCACTGCAGCGAGAAATTCCACACATGGGTTTATCACGCTGTGTTCGTGAGCCAGTTTCTTCATATAAGAACCAGGCCTAAATACTATCGGGCTAGAATGGAATAAGTTGAAAGATAGAGAGGGACGTAAGAGTCCTAACTTTTAACAATTTGCGTATCTCTTCCGTCATAATGACGATAAAGGGTATAAATGGGCCAAAAAACCAACGGTGCATATATAATATCCCGATATGTAAAAAAATAAATACACTAAAGTCATGTATGATATTACAGCAAGCAGCAGACTCATAGTTTATTGTTTGGCGAGCCAGACATGTTGGGCTCGCCACGATATATAGCATAAATATTTAGATTTCGACAGCGCCTTCACCTTAAACACATTTATAATCAAACGGTACCAGCCCGGTTGAATCAGAAGTTAGAAATTAAGAAGTTCGAGGATATATTTTGAAATGTTTGGTCTGAGCAGGTTTGTAGTCGCAAGGGATTAGTAACATGGCATAACCGGTCGCCCTTACCTAGTGTGTCCTTAGTGAAACCAGTGAAGCCAGTATCTTTGTTTGAGATATATGTTTACCTCTGCATGTTGCAGAAACTTGGAATTATTACGTTATTAGAAAGAAGGCTAGTTGGTTGCGACGTGGAAAATTAGTAGAGAAGTTTCGAATCCCTATGAAAGACGATTGTTTTGAGATGTTATCCTTAGTCCTTAAGAATAAGTCACGTTTCCTCTTAAAAGACTCCTAGGAAGTCGCTTGGACTAGTTCAGCCGGCAGGTCTTAAGGAGTAGAAGTTGTTTCTGAATTCCGTCCTACTACGTTGTGTCTCCAATTTCTGGGTGTTGACCCTTAGGTGTGCATTGGGACTAAGCTCAAATAGGTGTTTAAGGGGATGTCCAGAAGTGGTAAGGATACTGTAAGCCATTAGAAAGTCACCTCTAAGACGCCTATACGCTAATGGGTAAAGGTTAAGTGGTTGGAGGCACTTTTCAGAGGCTTGAACTCGAGTCCCCGAACAGATTTCGTAGCTCGACGTTGGATACGATCCAGAGTTTCCTCATAGTTTTGAAGTGAGGAAGGAAATACTATGCGGACGAATAAAACCGTTAAAGATAATGTGGAAATTTCATCCGTCAAACTGGCCAGAAATGCGCTTCAATGTTACCAGGGCAAGGTTTGCTCGAAAGGCATTTTTGTCACGGCGCAAGACTTCAAATCGTAGAGTACCAGCATTTCAAGATTTTATTCAACTTGGGACACTTCTACAGGGGAGTTTCTTAAGTTGTAGCTGTAGTCTGCAACATGTCTCAGACGGACTACGTTACACTTTGAAGTGTTAAAGATAAGTCCGTTGTCATCTACCCGACTTTGAAGTCGAGTCAGATCCTCCTGAAGTGCCAGTTTTTCCTCTTGGTTACGTATCCTCTTCGAAGCAAAAGTAATAAGCCTGACGATACCTGTTGTGGAAGATCGTTTATATAAATCAAAGAAGAGGTCCTAGTACTGGACCCTGAAAGACCCTACTAGGACATTCCAAAACCTGAAAGAAATTGAAGTTAACCCTCACCTTAAAATGTCGATTTTTTAGATATGAAGTGAGCCAGTCGATTAGAGGTGATTTGATACTCAATCGTTTGAGCTTATTGATAAAACATATATGGTTGACTTACCAAAAGCTTTTGAGAAATCAAGGTAAGTGATATCAACCTTCCCTTGCGATCAAGGATGGTTGTCTAACTGTCAACCACAGTCAGCAGGTTGATTATACATGAGTGACCTTCCTGAAACCATGGTTTTGGAGTGAGGAAGGGTTTAAGGATAGTAAATGGCCATGTATACCATCGCATATCAGGGACTCCATGATTTTCGAATGTATAGAGAGAAGAGCCACCGGTCGATAGTTCGAAAGTTCGCTGCGTCAACCTCCTTTGAAAATGGGTGTGGTGTGAGCCAGCTTCCAAATTTCCCGTAGTTTGCTTCGGCTTAGCGAGTGTGGGAGCATCACGCTAAGTGACGTTGCCGGGACCTAGCAGTTGGCATGTCGAAGAGTAGCTGCATAACGGAATAAGCTTTTCGGATTGGAGTTAAGCTTTAATGGTACTGAAGCCTGTCCTCTCTTATTGCCTTTGTGCATATGTTCCTGATTTTTTTTATTGCCTGTACGCACCGTTGTTATCAGCTCGTTTGTATTCTGCCCAACATTGCCTTTTGCGGCTTAGCAAATGAAGAGTGAGGTTTTTAATGATTGTCGGTTGCTTGTAGCTCTTGAAGACGTTTCGAGGAACTGACTGCTTTGTAGCACATAGGAGCGTGTGCAGTAAGAAATCCCAATAAGCATCCACATCAGGTTGAGGGTGAACATCCCAATCCACCTGTTATAGATAGTCCTGTAGAGCTGACACATTACACCGTTTGAAATTCCAGCGTGTGTTGTTGTTGAGATGTCTTAGCTCAGTTTTTCTGACAAAACTGAGGGCTAGAATGGCATGATCGCTTTTCTCCAGGGGAGCCAGATTGAGAGGTCGTCAACTAAGAATTCTCCGTCTGTAAATACCCAGCCTAAGCGCGACGGTGTCCGACTGTTTCTCCAACACATTGCCTACTTCACATTTTCGAATAGGCCCAGATCCTCAGTGAGGTTGAAGAACCGATTTTCAGTTGATTTTCACCTCCACTATACGTATGTTTCGCGAAATTGACTCTAGGGAGAATGATGGCTCCTAGAATCAGGATGTGAGTGAATCCGGGACGCGTAGAGCGGGATATTTCTTCCAGCACTCGACTGTTGTACTCGATTTCAGCATCAGGCTTCATGTAGATGACCCTTACTGTGCACTTCGAAGCGGTAAACAATCTTACTGAGCACTATACAGATTCATTAAGATTGATAAACTCTTGGTTGTGAACTTGGTGTACATCAAGGCATGATCTTATGTATAAGGCAAGTCTACCCCTAATTACTGTTTTTCTGCCATTGCGAAAAAAGACATCTCCGATACTGCTAACTCCTGGTCCGTAAACTGAGAAAATATCTAAGTTTCAGATATTTCTATCAGATGAGCATTGTTAGCATTGCTAATTTCACGTAGCTGATTCATTTTACTTGATAGAATCGCGGCGTTCATGTATAAGCAGTTTATGCCTTCAATTTGAAACGCGTGAGCTTCTTCCTGTCTGTCTGTATGAGCCTTACGTGAAAGGACAGGTACGGAAGTGGAATGGTCAGCCCAAAATCGCCTTTGATTCTGGCGTCATATGGCCTATCCGGATACATATGGATTCCAGTTGGCAACCGAAGTCTCTTGTTAGGAAATGCTTCCACAGTTGCAGCCGCCATATGGGAGGATGGGAAAGTTATCCTCATTAGCCGGGGTCTAAAATCGCCATCCTTTTTGGCCAGTCTCGTCACATGTTGAGTCAGTATGTTTTTGAGCCTCAAAGGTTGCTTGATGAATTTCCACTCCCTAATATCAGAGTTTGTTTGACTATGGTCCGTATTTTCCGGTACACCTTGCACAATGATATATCTTCCGCGGAAAAACCTAGCGAGATTCTTCGGGGATGTTCCGGATGAGATTGCACTCAGAATACGGTATGTCGGGCAATGTTCTTATGTTCCCGTCGAATTTCAGTAAATGACTATCTAGCAGGACATGCTCTACCTCGGTAGCATTCTTAAGTGTTACGCAGAGTAGCCTCGAGTGATTTTGATGCTAAAAGTCTTTCCCGAGTGAGGCTTGTGACCGTCAAAGGCTCTATTCTAAAACGTTCAAGCTTCTTGTTCAATTCCCACCAGATCATCCTGTCATTTTTGCCCTCCAAACTGAGGGGAAGGTTAGGGTTGTCTTTAAGGTTCATAATTATGAGAGAATCATTACGAACCGTTATTGTTTCTCCAGGTTATCCGGTGCGTTCAGGTTCAGGACCTTGTTGTTTGGAGTTTGAAGCGCGTTTTTGATCCCTAGGTTCTTTGATGACCGGACGGACAATCTTGTGGGTAGACTGTGCGACCAAATCACCAGTTGATGTCCGTACAATACTGGAATGTTTAGCTTAGACGGTGACACCTGGTCCTCTTAATCTCTGTTAACGTGGGTCCAATCACCTACAGAGTTTTTGGGAACCACTGTTACATTCAAGGACTCTGTGCTGATAGACTCACGTTTGCCGAGGGAGTCTGTTACCGTTGACGTTATTAGGGTGCTGAGTTTCAGCATGTCATCACTAGTGCTATTGCATGCTCCATCAATAGTAGACCTGTCGACATCCCTCTTCTTGTTTTCGTTGTGCGACCTTGTTTGTCTACCCGTTTTATAACTGTCTTTTACCAAGTTTGTTGACAGCTCATTCTTCAGACCTGTCAAGAGGACAATCACGTTACTCAGCAAAACTACAGCATCCGTGTTTTACGTAACACATACCCACTTATGATCCGACTTCCTGAGTCTGTCGGAAGCAGTTGCTGTGAGATCTGTGCACGCTTCATTGAACCGACCTTTGCAGTTATCGCACTGCATACCAGATGTAACGACAAAACGGCGTCCAGGTCGTTTGCACGAATTTTTCACGACTATATTGAAGTAAACTGTATTAGGCATGCTAAAAAGCCTAGGATCGTTAAAAATACACTAAAAACGA